TTTTTTTTGGTACTGGGGATTGAACTCGGGTCCTTGCGCTTGCAAGGCAGGCCACCGAACCGCTGAGCTAAATCCCCGGCCCATAATTTCCTGTATTCTTAAGTGGTCTGCATTTTAATATCTTCAGAACCTAATCTGAAGTCCTTTCCCAGGCATCAGAGGTTATTAAATTACATATGTGACTTTGCTGTCCTTTGTATGTCAAGCACCTCACAGAACTTTCTGATGTTCCTTTCTCGGCTGAGCCAGCATCTTTCCCAGGTCAAAGATAAAGGGCTCAAACTATCCATGAGCTAACGAGGCCTCAAAACTTCTGCTACTTAAAGGAACAAGCAGACTTAGAAGACCAGAAACGCTGTGTCACGTTTTCTCTTTCTCTCACCCTATCAGCCGCCACAGCCTTCCTGTTCATTTCTGGCTAATCTCACATCTGTGCTTGAGCATTCCTGACAATGCATAGCAGAAACCCCAAGACATGAGACTGGCAAGGCACAGTTCCTCTAAATGCTTTCCTGCCCCAGCAGCTAGATGCCTTGGCTGTCTGCTTGGGGACCTGTTGGAGAGGCAGTTGTCCACATTGTCGTCGTGTGTCCTCTGTAGCATCACTGGCAGCTACTGTGACTGAGTGTGCCTTATATGACTGTCAGTGTGACAGACACTTCACGTGTCCTTTTAAGTCCTTACCTTGTGCTGCCAGTGTTACTTATAGATTGAGAATCAGAGACCTTGTCCAAGGCCATCTAATTAGGAATTTAAACCTACCAGTATGACCCAAAGGCACCTTGCCCCTGCCTCTCACTAACTGGATCCTGAAAGAGGCCTGGAGGTCCTACTTATGCCCTCCTGCCACCACCAACCCCCAGGCTGCCTCTGTCTTGTTCTAGGGGTGGGGACAGGCATCTGGTTTCTGAAAGCCTCAAGTGTTTGATAAACTGTCCAGGTTGACAGCTGCCACACTTACTGCTCTGTGAAACGAGCTGTTTGTGGAACAAGTTCAGTTACCTAGGCCTGATAGCATGAGTGCTTGTTCTTTAAAGAACCCCTGAGTGATCTGTTGGCTTTTGAAGAGTAAAAAGTGGTACCATAAAGGACTGCAGCCGAACAGGTTGTGAAGGGCTTGGGCATTCCTTGTGTTTTGCTTTTCCGGGCTTTCTCAAAGCAGAGGATGGAAGAGTTCAGCATGTGTAGTGGGCTGGCTCATCACACCCACACCAAGGAAATGTTTCAGACTGGACTTTAGTTTTAGACTGCCAGGGGCCACCTTCACACATCTCCGCCCGTTCAGCGTCCCCCTGAGCAGCTTTGACAGGGAGGTCCTCCACCAGGGCACGCTCTGTCTCTGTGCAGTTCTCAAGTGAGTAGTTATTTAGGGAGAGTCCAGGCTGCCCTCACAAGACCTGTCCTGCCTATCGAGGGCACACGCTGTCTGGCTTGGAGCATATCTTCAGAAATGTAGGCATAGCGCCCTTACTAAAAGTTTCAAATTAAACCTTTCTAAACGTGAAGCATGAAAACTTGAGATTTCATAAAACTTTTGAGAATAATAAAAATTATTAGCATACCAGGCTCATCTATGAACCCTCACCTTTCCTGACCCAATAAATGCAATCTTAGATCTAAATCTAATTGTTTTATATTCAGAAAAGGTGTAACTTTACATGTGTCACATATCTTTCCAAGTCTGCTAGGGAAAGACAATCCTGTCCTCTCCGGAGTTGCTAATAAATAAGTAAACAAACAAAACCCACGCATTTTTATTTTGTATTAATGATCCACAATAAAATGGACAGTCTTTAATTTGGGGATAGTTTTGTGAGATAAAGTTTAGGAACAAGAGTAACATTCATAAAAGACTTGATTCTGAGCTGGAGACTGAAATGAGTTCAGCTGTGTCACTTAAGATTAAAAGTACTTGGCTAGATTTGTGCTGAATTTTCCAGGGGGTGGGTCTCAGAGAGTACAAGAGAGTTTCATTGGCTGTTTCTGCACGTAGCTTCTTCCCCCACTGTCCACTGGTGACAGCTGTCCATATCTATCGCCAGCAAGAGGACAGATTGAATAGAAACAATAGCAAGTTAAACAACCTCTCCAGAGTTTTATTTCAGTTGCCATACGTGACACTGTTGTATTCATGTGCCTTAGGCCTGCCCCTTTCATTATCCTGTTAACCTTCAGTTAATGCTGGTGCTGTTGGTTTAAAAGCCAGTCACTAAAGTCATGAAGCCCTTGATGATGACAAAGGGAGAGACGGGATCATTGAGACCCATAGATCAGTTAAGCTTCTCTTTTTCCATGTTGTCACCTCAGTTTCCCAGTCAAGTCTTTTATTGGAAATTGGTAACAGGTCAAAGAGGTGAGACTTGGCAAGCATGCCTTCAGAAAGGGACCAGTAACTACAAGGGTGGAGGTTTTTGGGACGCATCCTAGGGCTGCTTTAGTAGACTTGGTGTTCATCGAGAGACAGGAAGTGGGAAAGACTGTAAACCTTATTAGCATTCGTGACTTTATCGTGCATGTAAGTCTTGCCCCTACAACATCAGCATTGCCTGAAAATTGTTTACACATGCAGCATCTCAGACCTCATCCCTGATCACCAAATGAGGGCCCACAGCTTAACCAGGTCCCCAGGTGATTTCCGTACCCACATTACAGTCTGAGAAGCATTGAGCTAGCAGATCCCTGGGTAGTTTTAAAAACACAGTCTCGCAGACACTCCATATCCTGAAGTTAAAATATTTACTCTTGAAGAAGAATCCAGGTTTTTTTTGATACCAGAGATCGAACTTGGGACCTTATGCCTACCAGGCAGGTGGCAGAACCACTGAGCTAAATCCCTGGCAGACGTAGATGCTTCTTTAATATCAGGTCCAATTTAATTATTCCTTTAAAAATTATTTTGACATAATGAGATCCCTTTGGTCTCAGTAACACTTTTTGACTGAGAAATGATAAAATTGCTGCCCATTTCCTCTGGTTGATAGTGTGATAGTTTTAGCTTTAATTGCTAAAATGTTGGACTCAACTGCAGACCCCATCTTCTATCAAATAGTAGTAATATCCACATCAAGTGCAGTTATAGAATATCTATAGAAATACTCAGGTAACTTAATCTCTACAAAGATTTCTAGACATTTCCTTAAAGTATTATTTAAAATTTGAAAGACCTAACTTACAACAGAGACAAAAAAAAAAAAACCCACAAAATTATAGAGTTAGTGGTGGTGTTGCTCTACATTTTGATTGGTACTAAATTTTAATTATAGCTACATTGATTATTTTTGCTAAAATGATAGTAGCATATAATCTGTGGGCTTGTTTTATCTGTACAATGCTTAAGAAGTAGAATATAAAGAAATAACTTGTTTTCTTTGCATAGAGAAAATCTCTGCTGGCTTTAGAAAAAGAAGAAGAAGAAGAGAGAAGTAAAACCATAGAGAGTTTAAAGACAGCACTGAGGACAAAACCAATGAGGTACTTTACCCCTGGGCTACGCGTTCCTCTCCTCTCTGGTTTCCTTCCTCCCTCCTGCTGTCTGCAGTGTTCAGACTTCCAGGAAGCTTTAATGTAAAGTGTGCAATCATCGAGCATTTAATAAGTTGATTTTCTTCAGTTAACAGATAGCAGGCAATAACTAAGCAGCTAAAATAAAAAGGATAGAGAGAAGCAGTGTTGGCAGGAATGTGGGATGATTTGAATCTTCATTCATCGCTCTTGGGAAAGTAAAATGTTGTAGCCACTTTGGAAAAGCTAGGCAATTCCTTGGAGTATTAAGCGTTGCATTACCCTATAAACCAAGAACTCCGCTCCTAGATGTACACCAAAGGAAATGACGTGTTTGCTACCCCAAAAGAATGTGCACCAATGCTCATATCAACATTATTCAAAAGAGCCCCAAAGTAGAAGCAGCCCATATGCCCATCTGTTGCTGAATGGGTCAATGAAATGTGATACACCACACGTGGAATATTTTTGGCCATAATAAAAGAAGGGAGTACCGATACATGTCACAACATGGGATAGCCTTGAAAATGTTCTGCATAGTGACAGAAACCAGTCACAGATGACCAGATGTTGTATGATTATATGAAATGTGCGTAAGAGCCCAATCCATGAAGACAAAGTAGATTAGTATTTGCCAGGGATGGGGAAAAAGGAAAGGGAAAATGGTCTTTTGGAGATCATTAAAATACTCTAAAACTAGATAGTGTCAATGCTTGCACACCTCTTAAAATCTATTTTTAAAAACACTGAATTATATACTTTAAGTGCGTGAATTATATGGCATGAATTATATGACAATAAAACTACTATAAAAAATAAAAGATGGGCAGACCTTCTGGCAATAGTGATTCATTCCTGTCTGATAATCAGCTTTTCCCAGGTGCCTCCTCCACCTTCAGTTTCCCTTAAGCCTTCAAGATTTGGTGAGATGTTGGAGAGCTTACTGAGAGTTTCATTAGCACAGGTGCTATGAATGAAGCTGACTGGTTTAACTGGCTTGACTGTATCTGGGTCATGTGGGTGGGAGGAATGGCTCAGAAATAACAATTGCCTTTCTTCATTTGATAATGAAATGTAAACTGAGAAAAATTATTCATTACTGTACAGCTGAATGATACAGTATCATAACTAGATCAGTGTTTGTGTGTGTTCTGCATTCTCATATGGTAATGAGTGTAAAAGTCTAAATGATTAGGAAGCTTCTCAAGTCCTCAGATGAACAGATCATATGATCTCTGGACTTTTCAGAAGCTTTGACACACACATGAATTATCCTCATTGTTTGACTTTATAGTGTTACAAATATAGACAAAATTAATTTACAATAATAAAATACTGCATTGTTTTTTCTATTGGAATTCTGTGTAGCATATCATATAACAGAAGAGCTTTGCTGCCAAACCTTAGGGATATAGATAATCATGTTTGACAAGAAAATATCCTGGAGTTGAAGGATGCTCTTTGATTGATAGGGTGCTGGGGGCAATGGTCATCATACAAAGTACATGGGAACTGGGTGCTGTGATCACTCTGACCAGCAGATTAGTTTAACTATCTGGGAACCAAGTCTTCCTTCACCCCACTCCCACTCGCAGCCAGGCTTTCCTACTAAGGACTGTTGCAAACCCCCGAGGACCTGAAGTCTGATGCACTTTTCTTTATGGCAGGTTTGTCACTAGGTTCATTGACTTGGACGGCCTGTCGTGTATTCTCAACTTTCTGAAGACCATGGACTATGAGACCTCTGAGTCTCGAATACATACCTCTCTCATTGGATGTATAAAGGCGCTAATGAATAACTCTCAGGGCCGGGCTCATGTCCTGGCTCATTCCGAGAGTATTAATGTAATTGCTCAGAGTCTGAGCACTGAGAACATTAAAACAAAAGTGGCTGTGCTGGAAATCTTGGGCGCCGTGTGCCTGGTTCCTGGGGGTCACAAGAAGGTTCTACAGGCCATGCTGCACTACCAGAAGTACGCCAGCGAGAGGGCGCGCTTCCAGGTGGGTGTGCCCTGCCTCCTTCACACACCTTCTGTAGCTCTTCAGAAGTCTTCAGGAATAGTGTCTTTCCTGGCCCCTAGTGGGAGCATTGCTTGAGATTTCTTCTTGAGATTATTACTTACACTGTGACTTCAGGCCTTTCCTTCTTTTAGATTTAAGAGCCAGAAAATAGAATACACTTTGTATAGTTGCACAATCTGGAGCCTTAGACTTACTGAACTTGAAAATGTGGCCATGCACACTACATATTTTATAGCACGCATCTTTTGAATCCACTAAATGCAAATTTTATAGGTTGCCATTCTGGAGTTCACATCAATTTCAATAGTGAAATTATGTCATGGTTTTACTCAAATGTAAAAAGCAATCAGAGATGTTAGAGCAAAGTTTTTCATATATGTGTATATATGCACATATATAATGTAAGAATTTTGAAAGGACTTTCAGTATTCAGAATGGCCTTGGGTGCTCTGCCTCCTGCCTCACAAGCACAAGGACCGAGTTCTATCCCTGGTACCCCAACCCGGAAATGGCTTTGGGGCTGAGGGATTTAGCTCAGTGGTGCTGCCGCCTGCCTCACAAGTGCAAGGTCCCAAGTTCAATCCCAGATATCAAAAAGAAAAACAAAAACAAAAACAAAAAAAACTCAAATTTATGGGCCAGGGATTTAGCTCAGTGGTGCTGCCTCCTGCCTTCTAAGCACAAGGTTCTGAGTTTGATCTCTGGTACCCAAAAAGAAACCAGAATGGTATCCAGGTTTTCATGAGGGGTGGAGGGGGTGAAGGGAGGGCAGGGGAATGGGGGAAAAAATAAGAACCAAGATACATTATGTAAAGGTACAAGTTCCCAATGATGAATGTAACTGTATTGTGTACCTAAATTGTACCTATAAAAGAATTTGAGAGGGAAAAAAAGAATGGCTTTGTGTGGATTAATATAATTTTGACTAAATAGATGTTAACAGTAAACCTATAAGCATAGAAAAAAATTGTAAAATGATCACCAGGCTAATAATTATTCTGTCCTTTGTATTTGTGTCCTGGATAGACATTAATTAATGACTTAGACAAAAGCACCGGGCGGTATCGAGATGAAGTGAGTCTGAAGACTGCCATCATGTCCTTCATTAATGCAGTACTAAGCCAAGGTGCAGGAGTGGTAAGAACCTTCTGTACTACAATTTAACAAGTATACTGTTAAAAAACTTTTAAAATGTCATTATGATATAGTGCTAAAACCATAAATATGTATTTTATCACCCTTGCACTTCAGGAGAGTTTGGACTTCAGACTTCATCTTCGCTATGAATTTCTAATGTTAGGAATTCAACCTGTAATAGATAAATTAAGAGAACATGAGAATTCGACATTAGATAGGTAAGTCAGACTCTTACAATCTGAGATTCTTTATACTTGTTCCATGAGTATGGTGCAGTGCCAAACCATGAACTACTTGTGATTTGTTTGCCACACAAGGAACTTGCACCAGATTGTTGGCTCAGCTAATTAGGTTTTTATCATCAGACTTGGTCAACGAAGGCAGCAGTATACTATGTAGAGAACTTAATGTGGATTTTGGCATTAGACCTGAATTTATCTCCTAGCCTAGTCTTGCTTCTTTTTGTATATCCTAGTCAAGTTACACCTTCTTTCTGAACTTTACTGTTTTTATGCTTATAATAGATGGTGCAAAGGATGACACACTATAGTTATTTGCTTCCTCTTTGGAGAAAATTGATCATAAAACCCATGGAATACTAAAACCCTTAGTACCTTTGTAAACATTCTGCAAATGTTTATCTCAATTTCTTATTTGTTGTTTCTTGTTGGCAGTCGTTTTGCCCCTCCTAGAACAGCCACATTAGCTCTCAGGTCTTTCCTTCCATCACGCCTTCATTCACTCATCCACTGTGCTCTTCTTCTTCATGTCTGTCAAAAATACTGTTGTACATCTTAGTTCCTTGACTTCTAAAGATATTTCGCAGATGTCCGGATTACCCATTCCTTTGTTCCTTGCAGAGAGACCTTTCCCAACTATTGTGTCTATTCACTTTATTTTCCATTATTTTCTATTCCCTTTACCCTGGTATATTTGCCTTTGTAGACTGTTTCACAAGTGTGTAAAATACATAATGGGGCATAATAAATCTCTGAGTGAGGAATAAATATATCTGAATGAGTAATGAAAGATATGAACATTTCCTCAGTGATATTTAACAGCAAATCAAGTGTGGATGTATGGGTCTTTCTGCAGAGGGAGTCCATGAGAGGAATCTGGACTTGATAAGATCTGATTAACACATTAATTTAATATTATCTACGATATGCTATGCACACTAGGTTTCTAAATTTTTCTCTTATTATGATCTTACTTAACTGATAATATGTTTTTTTCTTTTAAAAAGAACATAATCACAAACAGTTGTTTTGCTTTACTTCTTTTAGAGCAGTCTCTCAAATTTAGGAAAGGCCATAGTGTTAATATCCTGAACCTATGTGCTTGTGCTTGTGCTTGTAGAATGTTACACCCTGGTTTTTTAAATTATCTTTCAGGCATTTAGATTTTTTTGAAATGCTCCGAAATGAAGATGAACTAGAATTTGCCAAGAGATTTGAACTGGTACGTATGCTTATGATTATTCTGGTTCGACTTATCGGCTCACAGAACTTGCCCCTTGAAATGATGCCGTGTGGTCCACATGGATCGGTGAACCTGTGATGAGAGTCAGAGCTCTGTTTTATTACCCAAGCGGCCAGATTAAAATCTGCCTTGGATTTACCTTCCTTATACTGAGGAGCTTGAATGTCTGTCTTAGATTCGTGTTTCCTATCAAACAGGTTCATATAGACACAAAGAGTGCGACGCAGATGTTCGAGCTAACCAGGAAGAGGCTGACGCACAGCGAAGCTTACCCTCACTTCATGTCCATCCTGCACCACTGCCTCCAGATGCCTTGTGAGTATCTGTGCCTTACCCAGGCGCGGCGCAGTGCGTAGATGTCACTGCGGGGCTGTCTCCTGAGTGTGCCAGTTAGAGGGGGTGGACATCAGGGATGTCAGCTTCGTGACAGCCCGTGTCTCCATGTAGTTTAAGGGGTGTTAAGAAATTCTCAAAATGAAGTAAAGTGCAATGGACTTCTATTTCAAAGTAAATATGTGCCTTACAGCGTTACATTTATAGAGAGGTAAAATGTATCTCTCAAATAATTGATCATCCCATGTTGAGATTCCCTAAGCTCTGGGAGGCATTGCTACAGGTAATACAAGCCTCACTCTGTCCCGTGGCTCTAAGGATGACCGCTGTTGAAAAATACTCATTTTGGTTTACAAGATCTTGATGACTTTCTCCACCGTTCGTTCCCTTTCAGACAAGAGGAGTGGCAACACCGTTCAGTACTGGCTACTACTAGATAGAATTATACAGCAAATAGTTATCCAGAGTGACAAAGGGCAGGACCCCGACTCCACACCTTTGGAGAACTTTAATATTAAAAATGTCGTGCGAATGTGAGTCTCTTCCTTTTCTGCTGCCTGTGAGATAATGATGAAATGTAGTTGACTGATTTTTATCCTGCTTCAGAGTAATAGCTGGGCGGGCTGACATGGCGGATGGGTCCAATATGCGCTATGTGGAGGAACGCATGCAATACACCTCCGTAACGTCTGGGTTTAAATGGGCCTCCAGCCTGCACTGAGGATTTCCTGTACAGTCGACTTTTTGTAATGAGTACTCTTTTAATTGTTACGTAGGTTGGTTAACGAAAATGAAGTTAAGCAGTGGAAAGAACAAGCGGAAAAAATGAGAAAAGGTAAATGATGAGGACTTGACAGGAGAGGTGTTGTGTCATCGGCTACTGGGGACACTCCCAAGAGAAGAGCGCACGTCAGTTAGCAGACATCCCCGCTCCCTGGAGCATTTGGAAATTTGCAGTGGTGTTTCTTGTGGCATCAAGTGGCCTTTGTTTTTCTGTCGTAAGCACATTTCACACTGGCTTTTTCTCAGTCCAGCTATTTTAGTTGGTGTGCAGATACCCAAAGCATTTATCCTTTTTTTTTTTTTTTTTGATACTGGGGATTGAACTTGGGTCCTTGAGCTTGCTAGGCAGGCAGTGCAGCCACTGAGCTATATCCTCGGCCCCTTTTATCCTTTTATTATAATCCTGTAAATGTTTTTGGAAAGTCTGTAATATTTACTGTTCAATTTTTCATTGATTTAAATTTGTTTTAACTACAAATCGTCCAAACCCTTCCCTTGTACCGTAACTACTTTTTGAAACACAATGGGGTTTAAGAAATATAATAAGGCATTCTAGGGTTTAGCTGAAATTCGAAGCAAGAAGCAGTGGCCACGTGGTTTCAGCAGCCCAGTTTTCTCCTTGACTTTAATTTGGCATGGATGGTAAAAGAGAAGTCGTGTGGAAAATCAGTGGCCTTTGCCGAGATGTGTGTTATAAGGCATGAACAAGCTTCTTTTAGAATTTGTATATATCTTTGATACTGTCATTCAGCATCAGTGACAGGACAGACTTTTGTTCTCACCGTGTCAGCCACTTGGAGACATGGATAGCTTTACTCTGCCTTCAGCGTACTGGCAAATTAAAGGCCCCTCTGTGAGATCAGTCATACGCCTAGCCACTTCTCTCTCACCATTCTGATTCACTGACTTCCTTTTCCTTGTCCAAGTTACTCAGTCGCAGCCAATGAAGTACAATAGCATGCACCCCAATATTGTGCTGAAAAGAATGTCTGAGAGATGTAGCATTTCCTTTTCTGTCATCATACGTATCCTTTGCCATTGAGCAGAAAAGCAGGGCCAGCACTGATAGCAGATAATACCGAGTGTGAAATACTCCTGGGTTAGTGCTCCTCCACACCTGCACATTTCTCTCAACTAAGTGAGACTGCATGCACATCTTGTAAATAATCCCGGGAAGTACTGTGGGGAGAGGAGAGACATGAACTAAAAGTCAGAGTAAAGAGTAAATGGCCAGTGAGTGGGTGACTTCTGGATGTACAGTATTCTAGAGCGTGGAGACCTGAGGCTGCAAGTTGAAAAGAGCACCAGAGAGGTCAGATTTGGAGTTGTTCGTCATTTATTTGGTAGATACTTCTGTGTGAAGCACCGTGCTGGGCTCTGGGTGTGAGTCTCAGCTCTTCCCTCACGGCTCACCTGGGAAGGCTGACCGCTGTCCTCTTTGCCTCCTTCAGTATTCCTGCAGCAGCGAGGATCAAACCTACTTCCTAGGGTTGTTTGTCAAATAGAAGGATGTCAGCATGGTGTCCATCACCTGCTACTGCACAATGAATAGCAGCAACTGTTAAAGGATTCAGGTGGTTGACGTGGATCTCAAAAGTCCAGGGAAAGAGCAGGGTGATTTACACATAGTCATGGGTAAAGCGTAAAAGAGGAGAAATTGTAGATAACATGAATTCTTTTCTAGAAGTTTTAGGTAGCCAAGTTACATTTAAGCAGGCATATGATAACATTTTAAAGAGCGGAGGCTGGGAAGAGGCAAGGGAATTCCATGGACCTGAAAGAGAAAATATTTGGGGGTGAATTCTCTGGCGCGTAGCACTCCCAGAAGTGTTAAAGCTTCGTGAATGGATGGTAAATAGATGTAATTTGTGGGAAGAGCGTTTAGGTTGGAGCTTCCCGGATTTGACATCAGGATCCTCTCCAAAGCCCTTCCCCCAACCTACAGACGGATTTTTTGGAGCAGGGTCCAGGGACTCCTGGAGTGTTGGCTCCTCGCGCCATTCAGAGGCACCGCCATATTTCGCGAAGGCTCGTGACCTGAGAGAGGAGGTAAATCTTAGTCTCACAGTTGTCCGTGAGGGACCAAAGATGTGGCCCAGTGGTGAAGCACTTGCTTAGCATGTGCCAGGCCTCAGATTTGATGTCTGCTACCAAAGGGAGAGACAGTGGAAAACGGGATGGTAATAAAAGACAGAAAATGGGATCTGAGGATTCGAGGGTTTTTTGGTATGGATCTGAAGAAATCAGACATCTGTGGAACGGTAGAAATGGTCTGGTTATCTCAACTCCAGGGATTTTAGTGGCTCGAACGCCTTGCTACAAATTCTACTTCTGGGGGACAGAAGGTCAGAGGCAACAAGAATTTAAAATGTGCTACCACATTCAGAAATCGATGCCAACCCTGTACAGCTTAGCCCCAGTGGGTTATATCTCTAGTGGACTTATTGATAGAAAGAGTAGGAATTGGGGCCAAATATTAGCAATAAAAATCTGCAGCCTAAACGTCATTATTCCTCTTTCCCAAAGGTCATCACTGCTGTCAGGAAGCTTTTTATTCACTGGCCATGTGAATGAGTATTATGCTAAGCTGGATGTCCTGTTCCGTTGTAGCAGGGCTGGGAAATCAGTAAAATCCCAGCTGAGAGCTACTATTTTTTTTTTCCATGTAACTGATTCTCATGTTCAACCAATACTACTGTCCTTAAGATATTTCATACCGAGATGATGACATTTTCTTTCACAAGTTTTACTGATCACTTAGCACAAGCCTGCAGGACTTCAGGTGGTCTCTGAAGGGGCATGGGGGTCAGCTCCTCCTCACAGTGCAAACTCTCCCTTCACCTGGATGCCAGCCAGCAAACCTTGATCATCCAAGCTTACCTTCTCCTTGTCCCATTTCTGATTTGTAACACAGGGTTTCTTTTATATTTATTTTCCCCTGTGTGGCTAAAGTGCCATTGCTCTGACAGAATTCTGAGGTAGCTGTCAAAAAAGGTATATCCCCTTCCACAAGAGGTGCTCAAACTTTTCATTCTTAGGGTCCCTTCTGATGCCTTTTACACAGTGTCATTAGCGAAGCTGTTCGCGGGCTCCCCCTCACCCCTCAGCATGAACGCTGTTCAGCCCCTGAATAGCTCTGTTCAGTGGGATACAGGAGTAATACTGACCTGACAGCCCCAAAGTCTCTGCCATCACCCTCAGTCAGTTTTCCTTCCTAGAGCAGCTGTTTTGGCTTGCAGAGCCTCCTGTTCTCATATCCCACTGTTCTTGTGTGTAGAGCACAACGAATTACAACAGAAACTGGAAAAGAAAGAGAGAGAATGTGATGCCAAGACGCAGGAGAAGGAAGAAATGATGCAGACCTTAAATAAAATGAAAGAGAAACTTGAGAAGGAGACGACTGAACATAAGCAGGTCAAGCAGCAAGTGGCAGACCTCATGGCCCAGCTCCATGAGCTCAGCAGGGTGAGTGAGGGCCTAGGCGGGCCCTCCCTTCACCACCACCACCCGCCCCCGCTCCAGGGCCCCTCACCCTTCTGACCTGGAAAGTCTGAAGGGTCCCACAGTCCCTCGCTCAAGCTTGCTCCCTCTGCCAGGGGGCACATTCACCAGTGAGGTGGCCTGGGGTGTCCCTTCTTGGCACCAGTCCTGTACTGAGAGCAGAGGAAATCCCATTAGCTTCGTCAGCAGTTTTGAGAAACCAAATGGTATGATGGCGGAGAAGGGAGAGAGATGTGAGTGCTTTTCAGTCAAGCACTCTGGTGTAGCATACAGAGGGCCAGCTCGACCAAGTGGAGGCCCTGAAGAAGCCGTCTGACTTAGCACCCCTCTGAACCCACATTCTCAGAAGTGTGGATTTCCCTGTAATTATGCTCAGAAGCACCCAGTGAATTATTTTCTTCCACTGATCTCTCGTTTTCTATTTTTATCTTCTCAGAGGGCTGTCTCTGCTTCAGTCCCAGGAGGACCCTCACCTGGAGCCCCAGGAGGACCCTTTCCTTCCTCCTTGCCTGGTTCCCTTCTTCCCCCACCGCCCTTGACTCTGCCAGGTGGAACACTCCCTCCTCCGCCTCCTCCCCTCCCTCCTGGAGGCCCTCCCCCTCCCCCAGGGCCTCCTCCCTTAGGGGGGATCATGCCACCTCCTGGGGCTCCAGTAGGCCTGGCCCTCAAGAAGAAAAACATTCCTCAGCCTGCAAATGCCCTCAAATCCTTCAACTGGTCCAAGCTGCCAGAGGTAAGCCCTTTCGAATTCTCCCACAGAGGGGTAGCATCAACAGCTCTGTCCTCGCTGAAAGGGACAAACCTCTGGCCACCAAAGAGTCTGTTTTCTAGCCTAGAAACTCAGGGTTTCTACCAGCTCAGGTACTTAAGTGATAAAGCCATGTTGTTAGAAATAAAGCCATGTTGTTTGAAACCAGCTTGTGTTAAGCATGCTGTAGGATAAACAACTTAGGATGGTAACACTTTTTAGAAAATAACCATACCTGTCCTTCTTGTATGTAATGATAAACCACAGAACCTGTTTTGATGTTTCTAGAACAAACTGGATGGAACAGTATGGTCTGACATTGATGATGCAAAAGTCTTCAAAATTCTAGATCTTGAAGACCTGGAAAGAACTTTCTCCGCCTACCAAAGACAGCAGGTAATAGCATGTGCTCTGTAGTTGCCAACATTAAAAAAAAAAAAAAAAGAATCACATTCTCATGCATGATTCCTGGGCCATCTGCCATAACCGCTGTGATAAGCATCTCAGTCCTGAGCTCCTTGGTCTACCCTGTGTGTCCCTGCAGAGCAGCATGGGGTGTGTGGACAGGTGTGTGCGAGCACCTGTGCTGTACGTGTGTTAGCTCCCGCTAGGAAGCTCTGTGACATGGCATGCGTTCAAGTCCTTGACTTAGTGGTATAAAGACTTCTGGATATTATCACTATGCTTAGTCACAATGGATCACCAGGAAGAAATACTAATAGGGGAATTGTATAACTGATCACCTTAGGGTATTTGTTTCTGAAACTATGAGTTTTTACAAAACAGTACATGCCACATAAAGACTACCAGAAGCAGAATTGTTTTTGAAATGGATGGAATCTTTAGAAATCTGGAGGTTGAATCAAGATGTATCATGTAAAGGTACAAGATCCCAATGATAAATGTCACTGTATTGCTTTAAATGTACCAATAAACTTAATGGAGGGGGGAGAAAGAAATCTGGGGGTTGGTAAATGACTAGAATATGGCAGCTACCTAGAACCTTAGACAAACTCTAAGACTCAGCAGTGAGGTTGCAGAGGCTGAACAGGTGTGCAGATGGCAGTGCTAACCCCAAGACCAGAAAAGTACTGAAAACCAAGCAAAGCTTTGGCCATGGTGGCAGGAGCATGGCCCTAGGTACTCGCTGGCTGCCCGTGTTGAGGAAACCAAGCAGGCAGCATCCTTCTGAGTCCTCACCACGTTCTCGTAATCTCCACTCCTCTGAGAGCTCTCAGCACAGCTCTTAGGATCACTCAGAAGAGGCCGTAGCCTCTTCTGGCCAGATACAGAGCCCTCCAGAAGAACAGAGGAAACAAAGCATTGAAGGAGTCAATCAGGGCCCTGGGAAACAGAAAACCAAATGAGGAGCCTGAAGAGGAAGATTCTTAAGGGAGACTGAAGGAGCAGAATGGCCAGGAGAGCGTACTGCGTCTCACACAGGAAGACGGGGCAGGGCAGCTCCAGGGGCTCTCTCCGAGTGGTACGGGAGGCCCTGAATCATGTCCGGGGTGCCCCACCCTCCGGCACGCACCACGTGTCCCACATCCCAGTCACCTCGCCTGACTTGTTTCCTGAGGAAGTCTCAGAAAAGAAATGCCAGTCCCCAAGAAAGAACAGGGGCCGAGGCGGGAAGAGAAACCAAAGCAAGGGGATTTTTATTTTAAACTTTCAGGATGACCTGTGATGCATCTGAATTAGGTTGGGAGGGTAGAATTTAACCAGAATATTCTGCCCTGAGAGAAGCCAATCTTCTCCCCAGTGCCTTTTGTGCTGGTTTAATAGCATGAAAATAAAGATAATCGCTTGCCATGGTGACATGAAGCCTGAAACAAGAGACTGTAGCTCGGCCCCTCCTTAAGTAAGGTGGCAGCTGTGCAGGGAGAAAAAGAAAACCAGACACCCGATCTTACAAAGGACAGACAAAGCGTACACTTCAAGTCTTCATCCTGCAGGTGCCAGGAAATTTCTTCATCCGGCCAGACTCATTCCTGATTGGATGTACCGTGTCTGTCCATCTCCCTGCACCCATCCCAAGTGGGGTCCCTGGCCTTCTGCAGGAAGTCACAGGGCATTTAGCCAGTTTCCTAGTAATTCAGGTACTCTTCTGACCTGGTTGTGTGTCCCATTGCTTTCCCACTCCAGTTTCAGTCGCTGATCCTCATCTATGCTGGTTGTCTTAGATGATGATTTGGGAGCTTAGAGAAGCCCATTAAAGGAAGCGAAAGCAGCAGTTAACTCCAAGTGATATTGTGCAAGTCTGAGCATGTGGGTTGTATTTGTTTTGAAGGCAGGTGGTTGAAAGACCAGAAGCTTCATCATTAACTGGCTTTCAGCAGAGGGTGCAGAAGGGTGCTGCCAAAACGCTCGGAGACAAATATGTGGACAGTTTTTCAGGAGCTGTTGGAGATGGGATTGCAGAAATCCAGCAGTCGGGCAACAGCCACCCAGCGAATAGCGCTGCCCAAGTAGTCAGTGGTCATTCCAGTCAGGAGAGGCCAGAGCATTTCAGGTGTACTTAACACTCAGTAGGCTGCTAAGGAGAAAGAGTTGTGACCATGTTTTCAGCAGTACTTTGAAGAAAAACTTCAGCACACCTGCCCAGCATAATTCAAGTATGTTTCCCTTTTAATATAAACCTTGGAGATGAGAAATTTTAAACCATAATGTATTTTCAAAATGAGGGCAGTTTGAACCACTGTATTGAATTTACTAAATGTTGAAAGCCAGAAAAATCAAAAGATACAGACATTCTCATTGGAATCTGTAGGGCAGAGTACAGCAAACAGTGCCTGTTGTCGAACGCCCCTCATCTCATGTTGGCAGCATCAAGGCCTACACATGTCCCTCAGTACTCAGTGCGCTATGTAATCGTCACTCCACTTGAACTGTTCTCTTTTCTGCTCCCAGATGAACACTGGGAGCCTGTATTTCCCAAGGTGTCTCCTTTCTCCTCCCTCCAGAGTGATGAAACTGGTCAAACTCTCTGGACTTCAGTCAGTTGTTTAGCGAAAGGGTACATGAATACCATTACCTGCAGGTGTTTTCAGAAATCACATCAGATTAATATAATTTAAATGAGGAAAGAGTGAATATCTGCCTCACGTGTGTGCAGATACAAACACACATACCTACATAAATACACACGTGTTTACACGTACACTTACACACCTGTAACACATGTATATTCCAGAAATGCCATTAAAGTCAGATATTTATATTATTTACTTTGTCTACAAAGTACTTTAAAGGACTCAAATACACTAAGCCGTGATGCAGGCCCACCAGGAAATTTACAGTATAAAAACAAAGGTGAAAAATGTGTAAGTCGTAATTTGGGCTAAGAGACAATGGTCAATATTAAGTATCCATTATATTTTTGATCTGAGTATGATATACACAATTCTCAATCTTCTCAATCTTAAAATTCAGTTCTCAAGAGCTCTTGTATTTTTTTGTTATTTAACACTCACCCCCAGCTCTTGGGGGGGGGGTTATTCCTGTGTTACAGATAATAAAAATAATGAATTCAGTCTCCCGATAGGTGACACGTTCAGGACTATGAAGCGGCAGAATTCTCAGCTTCTCTTTGTTCTCTGTCCATGGTTTTATTCGTTATGAACACCAGGGTTTTTAGAGGATCTTCTTTAAATCCAGTTTTAATAACATGACCACTCAAGGGGCCGGGGATTTAGCTCATTGATGCCACCACCTGCCTTGCGAGCGCAAGGTCCCGGGTTCAGTCCCCCAGAACCCAAAAAAATGAACATGAGCACTCATTCAGAATTTTCTTTTGGTGTATATATGAAAAGTGTGGAGAGCTGATTATGTAAGCTTATGTGCCACCTGAAATGGAATTTCATGGCATACCATAATTCCCCTGTTTGCATTCCAAAACTTCACTTGGAAGTCATTTTCTTGAATGCAGGAACCTTTTCCCCATTGAAACTACATCATACATGGTTTTTAAGTCAGCCACAAGAGATTTATTTTAATACATAATGTGAATGTAGCACATTGCATAGTAGTGTTGTTTCAGAAACAATTAAACAGTGTTAATGCCTGTTTTATGGGAATTTTCATCCTGCCCTGCTGTAAGTTTCACTCCTGCCTGTCCATGCAGTTAGTGACCCAGGCTGAGCTCACAGCCCTGCAGCTGCCCACAGGCAGTCCTAGCTCTGCAGCAGCGTGGTGCTAGTGCTTGGGCTCCTCCTCCTCCTTGCTCTGACCTGGAGGAGGGTTCTATGATCAGCACCTAGTGTAACATTCAAAGCCTTTGTGCTCCAGTTAAGGGAAGAGAAGATAGCTACTGTCCCCAGCTCCTGAATTCATCCGTTATTGCTAATATGTAGTATATAAGTCATTGTGGGGCACTCCTTTTGGGAACATTCAGTAGGATCTTTTTACACTAAAATCTTCAAAGCATTTTCCTTTTTTATCATCATCACAGTTGTCATTCTGAATCTGATTCACACACTGAAGAATTGAATTTACAGTATTCACTTCAACAATCTTAGTCCTTAGCCTCGGCACATGAAAGCAGAAAAAAAAATTGTGCATAGTTGCTTTCTTCAGACCAAAATGTAAGGCTGGATGTTCTATAAGTGGGCTCCGTGGTAAGTTCAGGGTTTTATATGAACAGTAGCATATGCATTTTTCTAGAAATGGATCTCCAGTTTTTATCAGATTTACCAAAGTATTTCAACCTCAAAAAGATGAGGAATCATTCCTACAAGTATTATATTATCTATGACATGTCGAGTCTTTGCTTCATTGCAGAACCCTGTTTGTAGCAGTCAATCCGCACTAGTTCCTGACGGTTCAAGTACCAGCTTCCTATTTATGCCCTAAACCCTAAGCCCTATACCAAAAGTCATTTGGGAAAATGGAGCATTCTGTTAGGTGGAGACATGCAAGTGATTCTGTCACATTTGACCCAAGCCAATTAGAAATATCTTGTTATATTTTCTTCTGATTTTTTTAGTTTTAAGGTTTCAAGAAGGTTAACTTGTTTCTTGAAATTGGACCTGGAAGCATTGTGATTTCAAACATGTCCTATCTAATGAAACTCATAAACTTTGTGGTTGTATTTATAATACGCTGATGAACAGATTGACTTTAAGTGAGTGAATCTTTAGGCTAGCAATGAATCAAGCTCTTCCATAGAATTCTTCACCTGCACCTCTGGACAGACAACCTATATTTCCTAGCTATTAACTATGGTACTTTGTGCTGCCAGTGGCTGTAAATGGGAGGTCTTGACTAGCCCTTCTGTAATTGAAAACTGAAAATAAAGTAATCGTGTCG